TCATTCAGGGCTGGCTCATTGTTCTTCTATCTCCTAGACTCTTCATTCAGAAATCAAATAGCACTCTATTTTCTCTCAAAAGCATGTCCTAAAACTATGTCCTTTTTATATCAGGATTAAATCAAAACTTACAGATTGAGAATAGTAAACTTCAACCAGAGACAATTTTATCTGTTAGGGACATCTGGCAAAATCCAGAGTCACTTTTGTTTGTCACAGAGTGAAGGAGAAAGCAGGACATTGCTACTGGTATCTGGTGGGTAGAGGCCAGGGATGTAGTTAAACATTCTACAAGGCACAGGACAGCCTACACAGCAAACAACTGTCCAGCCTGATGTCAATAGTGCCAAGACTGAGAAACTCCGTATTAGAGAAAGACTGGTAAATTTCCCTTTTTCCAATAAGTTCATTAGACAGTATTTTCATTCAGTCATTCAACAAATATTTATTGAGCATCTGTGGAACACCATAAAGAACAGTCACTGCCCTCTGAAACATACAATTCAGAGAGAGGAAATAAAGCACATGCCCCCCCCACACACACACACATACACACACCCAACATCATTGCAGATTATGTATATATTGTGAAGGAAATAAATGGATAGCAACAGAGAGTAATAGAAAAGCTTTAGATAATATAGTCAAGTAACAGAAACCCCAAGTTAAGCTGGCTCTTAAATCCAGAATTAAGGTGGGTCTTGGGACTGATTTAAGTCCTCGGCTCCAATTCGTGCCATTCTTAGTTCTATTCACCTCTGTGTATCAGTTTCCTTTTCAGGAAGATAATAAGGTCACTGTAATGGTGCTGGGCCTCATAATCTCACATAACAGTGCCTGGAGGAAGAGTGGAGGGAGGAAAAGGAAAGAGGATAGAGAAGGGCAAAGTATATCCCAGCAATCTAAGCCAGAGTCACCTTGCTTGGGCCACCTAGGTCTCCTGCCCTTCCTTGGTCCTCTGACTGTGGCTAAGGAGAATGAGATGTGCTAACTGGCGTAAGCCAAATAGTGATCACCTTTGGAGCCATGACTGACATCAGCTTCTCCTTAATAACTGAATAAAAAAATAGGTGTACATTTGGGACGGGTAATGTGCTTTCTGGGTGGGCTTTCTCTATGGGAGGCCATCTTTGAAGGCTCCAACCAAGAGCCTGGGAAAAAGTTTTTCAGGCAGGAATAAGTGCAAAACCTTGACATGGAGAAAGTGGCCAATGTGCCTGAGCATGGTGTTCCAATGGCAAAGTGGTTCACAGTGAATTTGGAGGGGCAGCCATGAACATTTTCCTATATATTGAGTTGTTAGCCATATTTGTAATAAATGTGATGATTCTTTTTAGATTAGTAGAAACATTTTATATATTTCTCCTATATCCTGGGTGCCAGCAGACAAAATAAAGTCACTTTATTGATATGTTTGTTATTTTATTTTATTAATTTTTTTTTTTTTTTAGAGATAGGGTCTTCCTCTGCCCCTGCAGGCTAGAGTTCAGTGGCATGATCATAGTTCATGGCAACCTCAAACTCCTGAGCTCCAGGGATCCTCCTGCATTTGCATCCCAAGCAGCTATAACTATAGGTGTGCACCACCACACCCAGTTAAGTTTTAATTTTTTTGTGTATGTGTGCAGATGGGGTCTCACTGCATTGCCCAGGCTAGCATTAAATTGCAGGGCTCAAGCATTTTTTCTGCCTTGGCCTCAAGAGGCACTGTGCCCAGCCTATATTTACCTTTTTATAAGCGTTCCCTGCACATTTCCCTATGTATTTCTAATTTTAGATGATTATTCCAATATAACTTAAAATAAGGACAAAATAAGTTCTGGCAGAACCAATTAACTTGTGAAGTATAAATTTCAAGTTACTGTATAAGAAGAAAACAAAAACTCTTTGCTAAGCAAATATCAAAAGTGGCTCAAATGGATAAGAATTCAGATATCTGAGAATTCATGATATACTAGCATTTCAGAGAAGCCAACAAAATGCATCTTGATTTAGAGCAAGTTTTATAGCACTTATGTACCCTTCCAGCACCTGGCATTATGCTGGATACAGAGAAGGTCACCAAAATACTGATTCAGACCAGAAGTTGAAGGGCATGTGCACATTCATGTTTATTGCTCCATCTACATATCCATTCCTTTGCCCATCTCTTCCTTTCAAGGAAGCCTGTCACAGTTTTTTATGGCTACTATATATTATCTCTTCAAATTGCATTTTTTGTTTGGGTTTTTCTTCTTTCAGTTTTGCATTTTTGTTTGATTGTTGTTCTTTGGGGGCTGTCTCTGCTTCCAATTTTGAGAACCTTTTGGTTCTCTAAACAAATGTGGAATAAAGCCCAATAATAGCAATAGTAGCTGCAAGCAGGTAGAATTAGCTCATCTTAATTTTGTATTTACTTTTGGATCCATAATTACATAACAAGAATTTGTAGGGATTTTTTCTATCTGATCTAAGTTTCTTTGATAATTTTCTGATACTCTGACAGAAACAGTGTGAGAAAAATCTGTGTAATAAAAACATAATAAAATACATAAAGTAATGAAATGTAATACAGGAATAAAAATGAGAAATTTTATTTAGGTAACAAATATGGTAGTTCTTATACATTTTCATCACTCACCTATGTTGCTAAATAGTTAAGGTGAACTGATTAAATTAAAGGGGGGGTTAAAACATAACTGTACAACTTGGCATCCACACAGTACAAGCTGAAATTGAAGTTCTAGAACTAACTTTTCTTGAATAGTATTACTACTATTACTACAATGTACCAAATGCTTACTATCAACCAGATATTTTATTCATATCTAATCCTTCCAAAATCCCAGCAAAAATAGGTATTATGTCTATTTTACAGTTGAGGAAACTGAGGACAAACTGGAATTTGCCTCAAATCCACCACCGTATGTAGACAATATTACATAATAATGACATGTTTAGTGCTTTATATAGTTTCCATCATTACATAAACACTATGAGGTGGAACATAGGAAGGCTTAGTAATTATTAATATCTTAAGGTCATATAGCTTACAAATTAATAAGAATAGGATTCAAGCCCATGAAGTTTGATTGCAGGAGGACTGGTGCTCTTAAAAGCTGTACTTTTACATAAAGCACCTTGGTAGAGAGTACCAGGATTTGAACCTGACCCAAGTCTGACTCCAAAGACTGAGAACCGGGAACAGCCCATTTCTTCTCTCTGCACAGCAGTTCCCATATAAACTGTGGGAGGCAGACCAAATATCTCAAAGGTCTTTTCTGTACACAACTGCTATGATTCCAGGGATTTTTAATATAAGGTTTTGATATGTAAAAAAGTTGGTTGTGGAAGAATGCAGTGTTTAAGATGTATTACCAAAACAATTACAGCTAACCATATTTGCACACTTAAGAATATACAACCCGAGATAGCTCTGGTGTTAGTTCCCATTTTAAAGGTGAGTTAAACTACTCGTCTAAGTGGCAGCCATCAAAAAGTACACACAATTTCCGTGCACTGTAATACAAACCCAAGTCCCTGCCCTTGCCTCTCACTTAACTTTCTTGTCCTCCTGGACAAGGGGGAATTCTTCCTAAGTCAGATTTTTCAGTTGTAACTATAGGTTACACTTCCTTGTTCAGTAACACGTTTGAACTGTGCTTATTTCCATATGCCTGAGGTAAGGTAAACAAATGCCCAAGCAAACTTAAAACAGACAGAAAAGGTTTATGAAAGATCTTATACTATCAGCAACATAGTTCCACCTTTTACTTTGCTTGTCTCTGGACTGAACCTAAGTTAACGGGGACATCGCTTTTCAGGGAAAAAACGACAGCTGTTTCATACCAAACAAAACCCAAAACTTACATACTAATTTACAGCTAGGGGCAGCAGGATAGCACAGGGTCGGCTTAAATCAGACGTATCAAAAAATAGGTAGTAAGTAATACCATGGGCAGCCTTCCAAATTACGTCACAACTAAAATCTGCTTTCAAAAAAAAAAAAGAGAGAGACAAAAGGCTATGACATTTCATTCCATAAAAGAACATCCTGCCTGGTGATGAACATAGGAGCACTTAACACATGCCCTTTGCTCATTATGAGCGGTTTAAATTGACGTTCTTCCTTCCGAGTCGTAGCCAGACAATAATAGAAGTGAATACAAAACAAAATGACGTTTATTGCCAGAAAACGCGCGCAAATGCGTTAGCGAGAACCCAGCCTCTCGGGCGAGTCCAAGACAAAGCCTGGTCCCAGCGTGCACTGCGGCCGGCACTACACATCCCAGCATGCACCGTGCCCGTCACGGCAAACGGACTACGATTCCCAGCATGCTGTCCTGACAGTCGGCCGCCTCCCCAGCGACCTGAGGTTTGGGGTGTCGCTCGGAAGTAGGGGTTCTGTCTCTGCTCGCTTAATCTTCCTTTAGAGTCTAGGGGTCATAAACCACCAAACAATAGTAAATTATGACTATTACGAGTTTTCGAGTCATTTTTCCTTGCCTGTTTTATTAGGACAGCAAAGAGCTTCTGGCTGGGGCGGAGTCAGATGAGCTTGGGCTGCTTCAGCCAATGGCACGGAAGCGGCCTTCCTGCCACCATGGCAACGGCGGTCGTTCTCAGAGGGACCAGGCACCCATTGGGTAGAATCTTTCCAGAAGGCTCGAGAAGAAGGAAGCGGAAGTGGCACGTGGAGGGGCCGGTGGAGGCGCCGGTGAGTAAATGCCGCAGATTCTGGAAAGTTCTCATCAGTGCGATACATAAAGCTGAGGAAGTGAGACCTCCCCTTTTGGGTCGGTAGACAGCGCCGGCGCTCGTGTGCTGTGCTATCCAAGGCAGACCCAGACAGCCAGCCAGCCCGAGCTTGCGGAGCGACCCTCGGAGGCTGAGCGCCGCTACCCCGGAGGGTGACAACTCTGCGGGTCGCCGGGTTAGTCGAGAGGGCTGACAGGCCGGCTCCCCTGAGCCTACCCGAGTGACAGAGGAACGGGCTGATTCGCGAGCAGCCGGGGTAGGAAGCGGCGGCCAGAGGGGCAGGCAGGCGGGCGGCCGGAGGACGCAGACCCAGACCCGAGGCGGAGGCGGACTGCGAGCCGGCCATGTCGGTGGTGGGGCTGGACGTGGGCTCGCAGAGCTGCTACATCGCGGTGGCCCGGGCCGGGGGAATCGAGACCATAGCCAACGAGTTCAGTGATCGGTGCACCCCGTAAGTGGAAGTCTCCGGGGCCGCGGGGGTGAGGGATTCTCTGGGGCCGGGAGAGGGTGGTTGACCCCAAGCTCGCTGGCTGGTTCCCGGGCACCGCGGCGAACGGGGGCAGCGTGAGGAGCGGCGTGCCCCTCCCTGGGGGCTGGGGACGGGCCACTTAGCCGGGTAGGACCTTTCCCCAAAAGAGGGGAGTGGGTGCTTGCTTCCACGAATTGGAGAGGGAGTGTCTTGTGGCTTCCTGGGGGACGGGGAGTCCGAGAGTCTAGTCTCTCTGGGCCGTCACTTTGGGCGGGCTTCCTACAGGGAGCTGGGCGGAGGCAAAGCCCGAGACTTTGCTCCCTTTTCAGGGCAAGCTGCAGCCTGCGCCTTCCGTGGCCGCCCCCGTTTCTCCACCCGGCTTCTCTGAGCTGGCTGAGCCGCCCCCAGCTTGTCCCCCACCCTCGTCGCAGGTCTTTGCGCACCGCGGAGCCGCGGTTGCCGGGCCTTTTTTTTCCGCATGGTGGATCTTGAAATGAACTGGAAGCTTCCATAGCCTGTATGCCGTTGCTTGTCCAGTGAGCTGGCGGACTGTTGTCAGCGAACACAGAATCGCTCCTGTGAAAAATTAATCTATCTCTTCTTACCCAGTCTTTTGGTTTCTAACGTTGTTGTCCTTAGTTCAGGGATCGTTTTCGAACGATTTGAACCTCCTTTTTTGCTTTTTGTATGAGAGCCATTCATGACGAACAGTAGACCATGTTTTTATTTATTAGGAACAGTATACATGAAAGAGAATAAAAATTGCATAGTTTTGTGCTAGAACGCCATAAAAGGATGGATGTTGTCACTGCCTTAAATGTTAAATTCTGCAGCACCATGGAGTAGGGCAGCATTTTAAAAAGCAACTTTTTGAGGATGATGATTTTCTGAAGAGATCGTGTGTGTGTATTAAAAAATACACCCGCATGTGGCATATACATAAAAATTATGCCTGCATGTGCATTAGTGAAAACAACTAGTCTCCTATCAGAGATATTACTGTGGGTATTTTTCCCCCTAATTGCAATAAGACTCAGCAGGAAGGTGTAAGAGGGAAATACTGAACTGAAAGACATAATGACTGGGCTGCTAAAATTGTACGCATGCAGATGAATGTTTATGAATAGAATACCAGAAAATAAAGCATGTGGTAATGTTAGTAACACCAGAAGACAGTTCTCTCAGCAACCTATAGATTTTACCTCTTTGCATATATGTCAGTTCTTTTGCTGTGCTAAGGACTCTGTAATTGGAATTTAGCAAGAAAACAGTCTTTCAGCTTTCATGCCTAGGTCGGGTTTACATCTTTGTTCTCTTCTATCCAATGAAAGAGAGAAAGCTGTTCCAAAGAGAGTAGGAGGAAAAAAAATTGCTATGTGGATATCGGGACTACTACATGAAACTGAAGACAGCAAGTGTAATGAAAAATGTAAATCAAGGGCAGTATTGGAGTTCCCCTTAATGTGTTTGACACAATTGCATTAGACCCTCTTAATTCTATTTAGTACAACTAATTTGATTCTCTGCTTGGACAATGAGAAGATCCATTCTGCAAGTGTACTGAGTTGCCCTACGCTGGTATGGTAACTCTGTTTTTGGAGGGTTTCTTAATTAAAGGTCCCCTGCTTGGGTGCTTCCCTTTTAGGATGCTGTTTAACACCTGCTCAGAGAATGTAGGTTTGGGTTGTTTCTGTTACAGCAAGTTTAAACTTTATTTAGCCTGGTATTTAATGCCCTCAATGTATTCCCATTTGTTGGTCTCATTGACCATTACTCCTCCTGGTCCACAATTAGATTACATTTGGATTAGTAATCTAGGATTAACTCACGCTTCTAATCTAAAGCCTAATCTATTTACCACCTCCGGGAAAGACTTCTTGAGCTTGTCTCTGCTAAACAGAATTAATGTAAGTGGTTATTTAGTCCTCAGTGGTTTGTATTCCATTCTGTTGTGGTACTTTTTCTGCATAATTCTTACTGGGCTTTCTCAAGTATAGTCTTCCAGATAGGCACCTCTTTCCTTCTTTTTAAACCCCATAGGTATAACTTAGGTTCCATTTGCTTGAATTTACATAAAAACTTTGGGTTTCTTAAGAAGCAGATGGTATGTCAGAACAAAAATAGGTATGACAGTGATGTTTAGAGTATATAGAGTTGATGACTGACTGAAAGGTAAAGTTATATTTTTTTTTCTTGGTCATGTGTTAGGGTCAAATTAATAATACTCTGTAAGGATTGAAAGCAGTTTCAGAATTAATGTTCATCTCTTAATAATCAGAGACTTGGAGGATTACACTTGAGACTTTTTGGGATGGTAGGACTGCCCCCTAGATTGGTTTCTCAGAGTGCCAGTTTAGTGGAAGCTTCCTTTGAGTCTGACAACACCTGTGGACTCCCAAAATTGTGCCACACTTGTCTACCTCCCCCATGAGTAGAGAACTTATGTAAGAATTTTCTTCCCATCAGTTTAAAATGTCTGCATTTATGGATTTTAACATTTTTGAAATATTTTATTTGTATATTTTCTAGATCAGTTATATCATTTGGATCAAAAAATAGAACAATTGGAGTTGCAGCCAAAAATCAGGTATGTTGTTTAAGGGAATTCCAATTACTTCTTAAGGGGGAGGTTTTAAAAGGAAATTCTCAAGGAACATACAGATCTGGGTTTTAAAAATGTAATTGAAGTATTTATGAACTCTCAGATCATGGCATTTTTCTTTTTGTTGCCTTTCTCATTTTATTAAATAAGATCTACTTGAATTTTCTTTTTTTTTTTTGAGACAGAGCCTCAAGCTGTCCCCCTGGGCAGAGTGCCATGGCATTACAGCTCACAGCAACCTCCAACTCCTGGGCTCAAGCGAGTCTCCTGCCTCCGCCTCCCAAGTAGCTGGGACCACAGGCGCCCGCCACAACGCCCAGCTATTTTTTGGTTGCAGCCATCATCGTTGTTTGGCGGGTCCGGGCTGGGGATTCGAACCCGACAGCCTAGGTGTACGTGGCTGGCGCCTTAGCCAGTTGAGCTATAGGCGCCGAGCCTACTTGAATTTTCTAATCTGCCAAATTTAGTATCTTTTCTAACTTTTAACTTACCTTGGATTTTAAAAATTATAAGACATTTTAATGATTCAAAGTTTCTCATGATACCCATTTAGGAATTAAAGATTCCTTTTAGAGAAGGAACTTCTTATAAGTTCTGTGTTTAAAGGCATTTTCAAGTTAGTAATTAGGTAAGATTTTTTGTCTAGACCTGTGCTGTGTAATATGGTAGCCATTTCCCACATTGAGCGCTTGAAATGACTGATCTGAATCAAATTGTAACGTATAAATACATGTGAGATTTTAAAGACCTATAATGAAGTAAAAGAGCAAAGTACTGTATCTTATCAACTTTTTGTATTAATTACGGAAATAATAGTTTTTTATATATATTGGGGCTAAGTAAATTAATGAAATTAATCTGTTCGCTAGGTTTTTTTGGTATTGCTTTGCCTTTGAAACAGAGTTTTACTTTTTTGCCTTCAGTAGAGTGCTATAGCATCATAGCTTATAGCAACCTCAAACTCTTAGACTCAAGTGATCCTCTTGCCTCAGCCACCCAAGTAGCTGGGACTACAGGTGCCCACCAAATCGCCCAGCTATTTTTTAGAGACAGAAGTCTCATTCTTGCTTAGGCTGGTCTCGAACTCCTGAGCTCAGGCATACCACACACCTTGGTCTCCCAGAGTGTTAGGATTATAGGCATGAGCCCCCACTGTTAGCTGACTGTGAGAAAATTTACATTTATGGCTCACATTGTAACTGTTGAACACCATTGGTCTAGACCCCATGGAAGTGGGGAGAGAAGAAATAGAACAGAAAAATACTTTCAGAGAGAAAATGAAAACATTTTTATAAATACAGAAAATATTGCTAAAAAAGAAACAAAATCCTAAACTCTAGAATGTATTTTAGTACTGCTTTATGGCCAGTTAGGTTGGAAGAGATAATATGATTACAGAGGAGGGAGGGAAGAGATACTTACACTCCAAAGGAGAGGGGGACATCAGTGGAGTAAAGTCCCCCTAAATGTGCCCATTCAGGATAGTGTTGCTGCTTTCTGAGTATGGGAGGAGAATCAGTTCACGTTCCAATCTAGCCTACAGACATACTTCATCTCATTTTAGTATGTAAACTTGCTTAAATTCCGTATAGTTTGAAAACTACTACAGCCAAGCTATAGTCTTCCTTTATTTGAAGAACTAAGAGAAGAAGTATAGAAAATAAACTATTTTGGTATTTTTATTTTCAACCTGATAATGTCAGAAGTCTTTGGTCTTCATTCTTAATTATTTCTTATTTTAAACAAGGGTCCTCATGAGGCTTTTAAGTGAAAAATGCTGTGAAGTGGAACTTTTTAATACAGAGTTAACCTAAAATGTTTGACCAAAGCAGTAGGTTAAAAAAAAAAAAAATCACCATCCCATAACATTGTGGCATAATTTCACTCCCAATTTTCTTGAATTTCAAACCAAAATTTTTTCCTTAACCTCATGTGTTTACCTGAGAGGTGACTGTCCACTTTCAAAAAATAGGTTGCTAAACATGGCTGAGCAAGAATTTTGAGTAGATTTAGCTAATGTGCACTAATGCTATGAGATAGTATAGGTTCAATGTCTAGTTTTCAAAAATTATGGCTTCCAGATAATAAAAATAATGCACATTGAGTTGAAAGTTAGAAACTTTTTTTTTTTTTTTTATCATTCTTGCCTCTTCTACATATTGGTGTAGGTAATTAGCATTCTGTTGCTACCAGAGCAAGTAGCAGTACATGTGTTCTCTGGCACAGAATGTTTATCCTGACCACTTTGCGATTTTTTTTAGATTATAAAAAAAATTTACTCTTTAAAATGTTAATTTGGCCGTAGTGCTTCTAAATATCCATTTATTCATTTGGGTATAAAATTTTGCAAGTTTCTGAGGGGGAATGAAATGAAGAGTAACAATTCTTGGTGGTTTATCCATAGCATTAGTGATTGTTTCTCTGTCCTTTATGTCTGTAGTCACACTGTTGCCTTTTTGTTTCCTGTCACTACTTAAACTTTGGTGTTTTCTATAGAGAAAGAAAATATAAGTAGAATCTGTAGATTAATAGGAAATTCATTGAAATTGATGAGCCCCAGAGAAAGTTATGTGCATCTGTTGGGTTGATTTGAGTTGCAAAGTAACTATATAAAATTGCTATATATACTGGTAGGTGGTGAAATTAGAGAAAAATTTTAAATCTCACACTTTTTTTTGCAGCAAATAACTCATGCAAACAATACGGTGTCTAACTTCAAGAGATTTCATGGCCGAGCATTCAGTGACCCCTTCATTCAAAAAGAGAAGGAAAACTTAAGTTATGATTTGGTTTCATTGAAAAATGGTGGAGTTGGAATAAAGGTAACATAATTGAGCAACCTGAAATTTCTTAATAGGAGACTGTTTAATTCATTGCTAGATAAAAGTACTACCTAATAAATATTTAACTCAAATGACAAAAGGGTCTTGTTCCTTTTCCATCTAACTCCTTTTAAAGTGTGTAATTATATGCTAAATTGTGGTTATGCAAAATTGTTTTTGAAAATTAAATGTTAATATATACTGTTATAACTTAATTTGTATTTTTCCTGATTCTTGGCAGTTGTAAAATTTAGGTGTATTTAATGTTTAAAAAAATACACATTGTGTTCATGTATCAAACAAAAGCCTGTTCCAAGACAGTCCAGTTGTAGTTATTTGGAGAACTATAGTGTAATACAACCAGAAGTCTTTTTTTAAACTTGCAGAGGCATTTCTGTCTTGTGATCAACACATAATAATATTTATCCTAGTGATTCATCTCTTCACTTAGAGTGGAAATTTACTACCTTCTATGTTTTGAGTATGACTTTGGATGAGGGGAAATCTGCCCCAGCTTTTTGCCTCCTCCCCTGTATCTGTAGGTAAATGTCCTTTCCTTTTCTCCCTTTCTTTTTCTTTCTTTATAGAAGTGTAACAGTAAAGTTTTGTGAAGAGAGTATGTGCCAGTATTTGGAAGTTAATATTAGCATGTAGCTTACTGTACTACAATGTTTAAAATGTTTTTCCTTTAATGTAGGTAATGTACATGGATGAGGAACATCTGTTCAGTGTGGAGCAGATAACAGCTATGTTGTTGACTAAGCTGAAGGAAACTGCTGAAAACAACCTCAAGAAACCAGTAACAGATTCTGTTATTTCAGTAAGTATGAACTTTGTTTTATTTTAATTTGCTTCTTTATATTACTCTTTAAAGTATAAAGTATCAAATGTGGGAAAGCTGTCTTTTACTGGAGAGCAGAATGCTTTTGGACTATCATGGTGTTCCAGAACGACTTCAAGGTAGGTTTAAGCCAGTAAGACTTTGGATGGGGGGAAATCTGGGAATCATAGCTCACACATAGTAACCTCAAACTCTTGGGCTCAAGTGATTTCTAGACACAAGTTACAAAGGTTCTTCACCGAAGATACAAATTAAAATCTCTCTATGGGGCTTTTCAAAAATACAGATTGACTGGTATAGCATTTGTGAGTATTCTTATATAATTAGTTGCTGGAACATTCAGGCAACCTGTATACTTGATGTGGGAGCTTTTTCACAGGTGAAAGAATTCTACCCTCATTTGAGAACCAGTGTGTTAGGAGTTTAAAAAACAGCCTACCAATAATGACAAAAACCTTAATTTTTAGCACTGGTAAGCTCCATTATCTTCAGTGGGCAGTTCCTAGTTAGATTATCCAGGAATATTTGAAATAGACTCGTTATCTTTTTTTGGATGCCAAAATGTTAATTATGCACTCTGCTCTCCTAAATGTCTTGGGTCACTTTTTGATCTCTTGTAGTTTATACTCTTAAACTTACTATGTCCTCTCAAGCAGTGTGGCCTGCCCAGGCAAGTCAGAAAATAACCTTTATGGCAGTGTATCCTAGAATATGAAAAAATAAAAGTAAAAGGGCTAAAGTTGCTGCTATTGCCCTTGCGAGGCTGAAAATGTTCTACCAAAGGAATATCTGAATCTTTGGCTGTTACTAAGAGAAATATTATAATACTGATCTCTGGAAAAATTAAAAAATTAAGTCATAGGTCAGTGTTTTTTCACTTCTGTCTTTTTTTTTTTTTTTGGCCAGTTTTTTTCCTACTTTGGTGAAAGTTATTTTGATTTGAAAGGTGAGGAGAGACCTGCTTTTGCTTTTTCCCTGTCTCTCAATTATCAGCAAATACTTTTGGAAAAAATTTGGAAAATCAGTATAATGAATTTTTTTAGATTCTTTCCATCTAAGGGAGTCTATGAATGTGTTGTTAGATACTTTTTTCCTGAAGAATGTCCTAGTTTGGTCTGCCCTAGAAAGTAAAGCAGTGAAAAGAATTACAGCTAGAAAAACACAAATCAGCACTGCATGTTGTAAGAAACTTTAATTCTTTAGCTATTTTTGGAAAATCAAAGGGAAAATCAAAAGGCTTCGCTAAGAGGTGTTTTTGTAATCTTAATGAGTCTACTGAATTAGAAATTGCCCTGTCATGTATTGATGCTTGGATTCACTGAGTAGCAGAACTGAAGAGTAAGGGCATGTGTTAGAATTAGCCCTGTATTAGCTTTAATTTCCTATAGTTTCTGCCTATAGTGTAATTATATGTAACATTAAATTTTGGGGTAGCATTGTAATTTCCTGTGTTTAGTTTGGAAGCAGTATTTCTTCCAATTAAACTTTTCTCTTAAAGTAATTTTTAATATGCTTATGAAACGCCTGGCTTTTATTTTCAGTTAAAATTTGCTTATAATAAAAAATTGCTTTGATCCTGTAATTTTGGGGCAGTCTTCAGAAGTAGCTACTGTTTCTGAAAGTAGAAGAACGTGATAGAAACTAAGTCCAAAGTTATCTTTCTGTTTTGTGACTTGGCTAGGAACCTACTCCAGCTGGACTGTTGAGAATTTATTATAAGTAGTTTGTGAGGAATTGCTAAGTATTTCTTGCATTCCAGATAAGTTAAAATTTTTCTTTGTTTTTAGGTTCCCTCCTTCTTTACAGATGCTGAGAGGCGATCTGTATTAGATGCTGCACAGATTGTTGGCTTAAACTGTTTAAGACTTATGAATGATATGACAGCTGGTAAGAAAAAAGTATTTGAATAGAAGTGAATTATTATGAAAATTAGACTTAAGGTATGCTAGGTGTTAGTACTTCTGTGTAGATGTAGAATCCTAGTCTATTAAAACCTCAGTTAGATTTGAAAGCAAAAAATTTTACTTGTTATGTAAAATACTTAGGTTAAAAAGAAATTGATGCTTTGTCCAGTTTATGAATTTGTTTTCATTAGAAAATTATTTTTTAATCCTTTGGATTAGGTGGGTTGGGTGTAACTTTTTATTTCCTTCATTGCTTTTCTAGTTAAGAAACAAGTTTTCCCAAAATGTAGAGTCTGGGTTTCACAACTACCTTGGCTACAAGTGTTTGATTTATTTAAAACTTTTTCCTTCCTATTTTCTGAGCTGTGGTTAGGAGGCAGTCATCAGGTATTAAAGCCAGTACTATTTGAACACATTGTACCAGGTGTTAAAGGCACAGTGGTGAGCAGAGGAGTTATGGTTCCCTCCCCCTAGAGCAGCATTCTCAACCTGTGGGTCACAAGCCCTATGTAACAATGAAAATCCATCCTGCATATCAGATATTTACATTACAATTCTTAACAGTAGCAAAATTACAGTTACGTAGTAGCAACAAAAATAATTTTATGGTTGGGGATCACTACAACATGAGGAACTGTATTAAAGGGTCACAGCATTAGGAAGGGTGAGAACCATTGCCCTAGAGCTTCTATCAGCTTATGTTTTTCCAAGCATATTTCTGATAGGTTTTTAGAAACTGCTTAGTATTGATAAAGGTCATGTTCTCAGGTATACAAAATTAGAAATACAGTGGTTTCGAAGTTCTCAAAAAATTAATGAAGACTTTTTAAGGGTAAATCACTTACCTCAGAGCTAAAAAAAAGAAATTGGTAGGACCTTCAGTCGCTGTAGTTGTGTATTAAATTTTTAATTTTTTTGGATAAGCAGTCTACTAGCAAGTTGTGGTTAAAATGTAAGTATTGGATAATGTGTTTGATTTTGTTCGTGACATGTGGTTACATTTCATTTTATTCATACCATGTGTATTTTGTCTAGTATATCTGTCCCTATGTTAAAAAGTGATACAGCATTGTTACTAAAGTCAGAGAATAATAACTGATTCTAAGAAAATCAGTATGAAGTCAGGTATATATGAAGATAAATATGTTCAACTTTAATTGTCTCAAGTATAATCAAAGTTTCCTGCATGTTTAATTGTATGTAACAGTGATATTCTTAAGAAAGAAAGAGCCAAAGAATTGAAATTAACTTATTTTTTGTAGTTGCTTTGAACTATGGAATTTACAAGCAGGATCTCCCAAGCCTGGATGAGAACCCTCGGATAGTAGTTTTTGTTGATATGGGACACTCAGCTTTTCAAGTGTCTGCCTGTGCTTTTAACAAGGGAAAATTAAAGGTAAAGTGATATATTGAAGTTAAGTGACCGAAGCGTATTAAAGGCATCATACCTGTTAGGTAGGACTTTAAGCTACTGAGCCTCTTGACTGTGTTTGTTGTTCTTAGTAATGAGTGTTTTAGGTAAAGACATCAGCCAAAGGATTGCTGCCAAGATCGATTTACATGAAGATGACACAATTATCTTAGCATATTTAACTTTTCTTGCTTAGGAAAGGAAAAGCTTTATTTATTTTTTGTGTAGTTACTAAAAGTAAAAAAAAAACTTAGCTTTCCATTAGGATTTTGTACTTAAATTTCTCCTGACGTGGATGTCATAATTTTTTTTGTCTTCTTTTTTTTTATTGAGTCAAATACAGATAGATCACGAATACATTAATGCATATGTGAGGTACAATGTGGTGATTTTTTTTTTATACAATCTGATGTGTTTACATTAAACCAATCATCATAGCTTTCACCTCATTTGCTTGATTATTGTGCCAAAACATCTATGTTCTACACTTCAGAGATTTGACTTGGACCCTTGTCATATGCTCCATAGGTGTGGTCTCGCCTTTTACCCTCCCTCTGTAAACACCCCCTCCTTTCCCACTCCATTTCTCTCCTTCATCCTGGGCTACAGTTGTGATCTATCTTTCATAAGAAAGTGTGAGCAAATACAGGTAGGTTTCATAGAAGTACTGAGTACATTGGATACTTTTTCCTCCATTCTTGAAACATTTTACTCATGAGAATATGTTCCAGATCCCTCCATGTAAACATAAAAGAGGTAAAGGTTTCATCTTTTTTAAGGCTGCATACTATTTCATGGTATACATATACCACAATTTATTAATCCATTCATGGGTCGATGGGCACTTGGGCTTCTTCCATGACTTGGCTATTACGAATTGAGCTGCCATGAATTTAAGTACAGCTCTTGAGCTTTTTAGTCTTTAATAGTTTGAGTAGTAATATTTAAGATGCTAATTGCAAATATGATGAAAAATAACCAGATTATTTGTTTTAATTAAATTAGGTGCTGGGAACGGCTTTTGATCCTTTCTTAGGCGGAAAAAACTTTGATGAAAAATTAGTGGAATATTTTTGTGCAGAGTTTAAAACTAAGTACAAGTTGGATACAAAATCCAAAATACGAGCACTCCTTCGTCTGTATCAGGAATGTGAAAAACTGAAAAAGCTAATGAGCTCTAACAGTACGGACCTACCACTAAATATTGAATGCTTCATGAATGACAAAGATGTTTCAGGAAAGATGAACAGGTGTGTCTTAATTCTGCAGATGAGGTAGCTGGAACTTTTTTCTGAAACTATCTGTGGGTGTTGTGAGTTTCGGCCTATGTTTCAGGATTGTGTGTTACATGGCCCATGGCTGGAGAGAGTATTGTTCCAGGGATGGAGGATCCAGGATGGAGGATCCAGGGATGGAGATGGGAGTGAAATTCATTGTGTTGATAAGACTCATTATTTTAAAAAGTAGGACAGGATACTTGTCTTATGATAACTTTTCTAACAATTGATAAAGTGTTCCTCTTACTTGCTTAGGTCACAGTTTGAAGAACTCTGTGCTGAACTTCTGCAAAAGATAGAAGCTCCCCTTCATTCATTAATGGAACAAATTCAGCTCAGAGTAGAAGATGTGAGTGCTGTGGAAATAGTGGGAGGCGCTACACGAATTCCAGCTGTAAAAGAAAGAATTGCCAAGTTCTTTGGAAAAGATATTAGCACAACACTCAATGCAGATGAAGCAGTAGCCCGAGGCTGTGCTTTACAGGTACTGGATGAGTCCTGCTTTCACCTGAGGCGAGGCATATCCCTTGTTTGGTCTGTTCGGTTTAGTCTTCTATTCAGTTTTTATAAAAAGCCCTGACTAAATGTGAATCGTCCACCTGTTAGGTGTTTTCTTTCCAAAATTTGAATTCATTATTGCTTTCTTCATTTAAAAAATTACTTGGGGCTGGGCACCTGTAGCACAGTGGTTGTGGCGCAGGCCACATGCACCGAGGCCCAGGCCAGCTAAACAAAAATGACAGCTGCAACAACAACAAAAAATATATAGCCAAGTCCCACCTACTTGGGAGGTTGAGGCAAGAGAATCGCTTAAGTCCAAGAGTTTGGGGTGGTTGTGAGCTGTGCTGCAACAGCACTCTAGCGAGGGTGACATAGTGAAACTCTGTCTCAAAAAAAAAAAAAAAAAATTGGAAATGTGAGCATTTTGAATTTTACCCTTTTTAGTTTCTTAGACATTTGGAAAGTGATATGGACAGAACTGTTTGTAGATGTATAGCGTAAATAGTCAGAAATAATACAACTTGTAATTGAAATTACTGTCAACAAGGCACTTCTGGGAAGAACAATGTTTTTCTCACATAGTTGGTTAATTGTGATTCTGAGATTTTTTTATTGTTATTTGTCTTTGTATGTACAGTGATTGGCATGGTATTTAGGCAATGAATAAATTCTTTATGCTTAAGATGACATTATGTTAACAATTTTTGAATTTGAGTTTAAGAAGAAAAATCTCACCCATCTTTTAGAATTGAGTTTTATGTTAAAAGAAGTGGAGACTGTTCATGTGCTCACGAGTTTGTTTCTTTTCTAAGTGTGCAATCCTTTCTCCGGCATTTAAAGTGAGAGAATTTTCTGTCACGGATTCAGTTCCTTTTCCAATATCTCTGATTTGGAACCATGATTCAGAAGATACTGAAGGGTATGTACAGAAAATAATGTTCAAATAACATTTTAATAGAAAGAAAAAAATTAACAAATGACTTTTACGTGGTCATTAATATACCTTCAATCTTTCAGCTACCAAAGCTAAAATACTTCTCTCATTTTGGTATTGTAAATGGTGGTAAAGAATTGATAAAGATTGTAGAATGTTGGCTCGGCGCCTATAGCTCAACTGGCTAGGGCGCCAGCCATGTACACCTAAGGTGGCAGG